TTTATTAAAATGAACATTATCTTGAGAAAGAATGTGAATAATAGGATTTTATTATATAAAAAATATTCCCAGAGATGCCTTCACCAGGAAAATTATTTATTTTCTCAAATGTTTTCAGCTGTTCTAGTGGTCATTGTCAGGATATGTATGAAATGAATATTAGAACATAATGTAAAGCAGGGGTGTCCAACCTTTCTGTTTCTCTAGGCCACATTGGAAGAAGTCACGGAGTTCTGGGCCACAAGTTTATTGTGGCCCAATCCTTAAATATACTTGTATATTTAAGGATTTAAATGTCTAGATTATAGTAATAAGTGTTAAAACTTTATCACAAAAAAGGATATTTTAAAAAATTACTTATACAGACACTTTTAATTTCTACTTAGAAATAGATAAATTTATTATAAAGGAGACAAACAAAAACTTATTTGAAAAACACAAATATTTATTTTATTTGGGTCTTTAATTAATAAAAAACAACAAAACACTATTTTAAAGTGTATTTTTATTCAACAAATATATTTATAAATAATATGTAGCCCAAAATGTAGCTAATGTGCCAAATGATATTTTTTACACCTAACTAAAAAAAAGGGTAGCCAAATCTTGCAACGCTGGAAAGAATACTAAATAATGCTGGAGTTGGAACTCAAAGGATTATAGATCCAAATTTGAGAAAAGGAGAGAAAGAAAAAAAGATAAAAAGTAGTGAGGAAGGTTAGAAAATTAACTCAATATTTGCATAACAGAAGGTCTATTTAACCTTTCTCACTACTTTTTATCTTTTGGCCTTTCTCTCCTTTCCCCAAATTTGGGGCTAAATCCTTTGAGTTATGACTTCAGCTTTATTTAGTATTCCTTCCTCATTCACACATTTCAAGTATTTGAAAATATTTCCTTTCTATTAAAAAATAAAATATGTATAAAGGTTTATGGCTTTGTGAAACTTCTTTTTTGAGGTTTATGCCGTTGAAATAAAGAAATGAATAATAAAAAAATTTGTCGGTTTTGTTTACACATTTATTGGGCTGCATGTGGCTGTGGGCTGCAGGTTGGACACCCCTGATGTAAAGCATTTAAATTTGAAAATTTAACTTTAACATATATATAACAGAATGTTAGAATTACAATTTGAATGTAAAGAATGTAAAAGCATTTAGCAACAGAAATAAGAACATTAAAAAAAGTAAATGAAAATTAATTGAATACAGTAGACCTGTGGTAATCCAACAAACATTTTGCAAAGCGGTGTCAGACAATCGAATTTGTCGGACTATAGAATACTGCCACTGACCCCTTGTAGCCCAAAACTTTTTTGAAAAGGAGTACCTTGTAATCTGAAAAATTACATACTTATAAAAATGGTAAAATCAAATCTATATACTACATAATATACGATATGGGACTTAGTGAATTAAACAACACAATAGATAGCATAGGGTTTATTATAAAATTAACTTCATTAACACTACAGCACTTACAAAAAATAATAACTAAACATATTGATGTCAATCAATTGAACCTGAAGAAGACTGAGTACTTAACGACAGACCCGACTGAGGAAGGCACAATCATTGTTGATGGCGTCAGCCTTCCTCGAGCTGAGCAGTTTAAATATCTTGGTCTGTGATCTCTGCCGATGGAGACTTATACCATGAGGCAGTTGCACGCGTCAATGCTGCCTGGCTGAAGTGGCGCTCAATAACAAGTGTGCTGTGTGACCAACGCATCAAGGACCAACTTAAGTCAAAGATTTATCGAACCATTGTCCGGCCTGTCGCACTGTATGTGCAGGCCAACTAGGAAGGTTGTCGACTGCCGACTTGCTACTATGGAGACTAGGATGTTGCGTTGGATGAGTGGCCTTACCAGACTTAATTGAGTACACAATGTAGACATCAGAGCCCGGTATAGCATTGCTGAGATCAATGAGAAAGCACGCGAGTGGCGCCTGCGCCTTTATGGCCATGTGCTCCTTGCTGACACCAACTCCATCATTCACATGGACCTAAATTTGGAGGTATCTGGGTCCCACCCAAGGCAGTGTTGCTGGACACGCTACATCATGACCTGCAAGCCGTAGACCTACACCCAGACCAGGCCCATGATTGGGCCAAATGGAGATTCAAAATAAAATCCAGCTGTGCCGACCCCACTGTTAAACAGGACTAAGGCCAAAGAAGAAGAAGATTGATGTCAATCAATTACATACAACATATGTAAGTATTTCCAAGGTACATATTTGAAAATTTGAAGGTTAATTTGAAAATTTAATTTGAAGGTAAATTTGAAAATTCAAACAAATAAATTTATGGTGCATGCAAATATTCATAAATTTTCTTTAGTTTTACATTGACTAAACGTGAGAGTAAAGCCTTGTCTCTCAGTCTCCTCTGAAGTAAAAGTTTGTTTTACAGGGCACCATTCTCTTCAGCCCATTGCATTCCGAGCTGCATATAGGCATGTTGGATTATAGGGGGTTCTGGATTAGATGGGCCGGATTACCGTGGATCTACTGTATATTGACGTGTTAGTCGAAGCATAACTCATACAATGTATATCAATACAAAAACAATAGACATCCAGCGACTTTACAACTGACACAGAGGCAACTCCAAGCACATGATAAATTTTTTTTCCATATTTTGGTTATCGACGATTCCGAGGAGTTTCACCAGACAAATCAAAGTGGGAACCATTCTTGGGGAAAGTGGAACAAATAGCTAATACAATGGCACACTTGGCTTTTCTCCCATCTACACCAATTGTACAAAAAAAAATCTCTAGATATTTCTTGTACAAATGAGAACAAGATACACAGTAGGATATTTTATGCTAATCCAAATAAAGCATGGTTATTTTCATCATATCTGTTTTTAATCTTTTCTATTAAATTTTTCTTAATATTATAATTATTAAGTATCGTATAGATTAAATTCTACTTTTGAGCTGTTTTTAAGAATAAGAAAATAAAGCATTTCATTGTAGTTTTAACGAATTCAAATTCATCAAGCTCTACAATATATTTTTAAAAGTCATCAATTCTTTCATAATGAATTAACAATAGTTACGAAGACAGTAAACAAACTTTCGGTTCTAACATATTAGTTTAGTTGCACACGAAACTAAATGTTTTGTTCAACAACGGCTATGCCTTCAATTAGTCCATTACATCTCAAATATAAATACGACAGATTACTTTTCTTGTTTTCATTAAGCTTGGTTAACACTGAGCGCAGTTTGCTGGCGAAAGCGAAAAGCAGAGCGAATAACCTGTCAAACGAATCATATTTGAACGATTATTCGCTCTGTTTTTTGCTTTCGCCAGTGAATCGTGCTCAGCATGAACTAAGTTTTACTGTTTATGGCTCTTCCTACAGACAAAACGAAAGGTTAACGTGATACATGTTTATTACGTGACGATACCTTCTGTACTTTACAAACCGAAAATTTGCTTACCTTTATTAGTTATCGGCCTCAGAGAGATTTTTTGAGTCCGACTTTCGGGAATCTTTTAAGTCCTTCACAATTAAAGGTTTCCAAAAGTAAAAACCGCTGAAAATTCCTACGATGCCGGCTAATAACAATTGTCCACCGGAAAGACCCACGCGAATCATCGTTTATTTTACACGCTGGTCGAGATTACTGAGATAAAACGAATGCAATTTTATTATATCAGTAAAATGGAAGTTTAACAGAATAGAGTGAAAGAGATGTCGAAGTAATACCTAACGTTTCAGCAGGAAGTTTTGTCGAGCAGTAAAACCGCTGTAAACAACAAGCTTAAATTATTTCGAAGGAAATTTTTCCAATTTTTTTTTTAAATTTCAATCTAAATGCAAAATGTGATTATCATTACGTCCATGTTTTTCAACTTCTCGTCCATATTTCGACGTCCGTAGTCCGACACTCGTTCTTCGAAACTCGCCCAAAATCGCCGGAAATAGGTTTTTGACAATTTTTTGGAATAGATCAAAGGGCTTTAAAATTATTTCTGAAGCGGATAAGAATTTTGTATTTAAAATTTAATGTTTTCATCTCTAATGCAATAGAAACTATATCTTTTTCGGCTTTTCGAATCTTTGTATGGGGCGTTTCTATTTTCAGTGCTGTACTATATGCTAAAAATAGAAATACATAATAGAAAAAAATAGAAATACCGTACGTGTCATACATTTAACAGTTTAATTTAGCTGCTAATGTGTGATATATCCATTATATGAAAATTATTGTTATTACTTACAATTATAATTTAAAGAAATTGATTAAAACCTATATATGTGTTGTTTTTCGTTATACACATGCTGTACTCCGTCACGCAGATATCGTGACATCGTGAATTTCCGGTGTTTTAAAAAAATTTTCGAGTTACGCTAAAAGAAACTGTGAATGTGTTCTACCCCTATTTTCGTGTATCGCCAACGCATTTCACCATATACTTATTCTGAGAAAGTTTTAACGGATTCCTGGCTTTTCGCGCTCCCAAGATTGGTTACTTTACGACTATCTTGTGTATTTGAAGCGAATAATCAAGAATATGCCGAAGACGAAATTATCTTTGAAGATTTTAATGAAAGAGAATCTTAATTATCTTAATTTTGTCTTGATTTATACTTCGTGTTACACAGAAATGTTTTCTTCTACAGTATTAATAATAATTTTTTCACTATTATGGGAATAAGGGATGCTGACATTCTATTTTTCTTTTCTCTATAAACTTTACAAGTTAGACCATGACCATGACTTTATTCGTTTAATTTATTGTTACATTAAACGAATAAAGTCGCGGTCATTGAAAATCTTCCGATATTAGAAGTGCCGTATTGAAATTCTCTAACTTACTTGTAAAGTTTACACAGAAAAGAAAGATATATTTTTTTTAAATTTATATTTTTCTATACAGTCAAATAAAAATTAAAATATTACGATAATGTGTACGATAACATCGATCATTTTTAAAGGTTAAGTTCGATAAACAGCTTTTTCCAATCTGGCAACACTTAATTGGCCAGATACTTCCGGAGCAGTTGAATGTCCCGTAGCCGATTTAACTGTCAAAATATGCGGAAGGAGGAAAGAGATGGACCGAGATTTATTTTCCGATATTCGGAATTTCGGACGAGATCATCTTAGAAGGAGTGAAACTCGAGTGACGACGGAAGACGGTCGAGTATGGACAGAAAAACAAGTAGGCAGCGAATATTGCGCGGAATTTAAGGGATACACGTGGGGTTACGTGGTAGACGAGAAACCCGACCTGCAAGTTGCGGTCGTCCTTCCTGGATTAATCTTAGGTAATCTTGCGTTAAATAACAAAAAAGACTATCACTTGCATTGTTTGTCAGTACTAATTAGATAGGAATGCATAAAACACTAATGGGATGTTTACACTTTCTTAATTGGAGAAAATGCTTTCGTTGTACAGCACAGTGAATAGCATAATTATTGAAATTGTTTTCATCCAAGTCATTATCTAACTTAAAAAGCAAAACGTATAATGAGCTGTTTCAGTAATAATGTTTGAAGATTTTAATATTTCGTGAATCTGAAGACTAGCAATTGATGATGTATTGTGTGGCAAAAATAATATTTCGATGTTTGTCAGTTTAAGTTAGAATGTGATGAACAGTCGTTAAACATTGCAAAATTGCACATCCTACAGCCGTCAAAAAAGCGAAAGTCGATTAAAAATTCAACTGTAAAATTATCATAACTACATAGCATGGATGTGAATGTGTAGTGAACAAAATTGTTCACTACATATTTAAAGAAAACTATTTTGTCAAGAAAAGTTATGTTCTCTTTGTATACATTGTGAGTCATCCGTACTGTGTAGTTATGATAATTTTACAGTTGAATTTTTAATCGAGTTTTGCTTTTTTGACAGCTGTAGTGTGTGCAGATTTTCCAATGACAAAGTTTCATAAATTCTGAACTGTCGGCATTATGGCTGAGGCCAAACGTAATTCAATCTTTTGATCTTTTCTTTCTAGTTCAAGCAGGTATAGTCAAGCAAAAGTTTTGTTCGATGACAGATGAAAATAAAGCTGTCTTGTCAAAATTAGAAGTAGTTTTAATCTCGTAATTAAAGATAATTTTTTTATTGGTTATTAATATGCCTGAAAACCAAACTTATCATAATAACCATAAATGACTTTAAGGTGACATTTTATTTTAATTGACTCCAATATGCATTTTGGATGTATACATTCATCCCTCTTCAGTTGGGTACAATATTACAAATATTATATCTGCACAGACAAATTAGCAAAAAAATAAGAATCAACTTAACACCTACAAAAACCAATATGATCTATGCCTAGTTTTTACTTTTTTTTTTTTAATAAAACAGGTAGCTTATAGATAAAAATAGTAAAAAATAGATAAAAAAAATAAAACAAATTTTTAAAAATTATAATTTTCTAGTGATTCTGGAACAGTTTAATAGTTTAAAGAAAACCATAAATAATAATAATCAAAAACAAAACAAAATATCTTAAATACTAAGAATGTGGTTTATAATTTCTAGTATAGTTGTGCTAATAATAAAACATGTTGGTGAAACTAGTAGAGAACTTGGTATAAGAATAAAAGGACATATAAATTCCATAAAAAATAATCAATATTTTGCAGTAGCTCACCATTGTAACATGGGCTGCCAGATTAAAAGGAATACAGTACTATCAAAATTGTTAAGAAAGAGATGATTTTAAGAGGAAAATATTATAGCATTTGGAGATAATTAAATTAAAACCAGAAATAAAAATTAATAGTAATGATGGTGTAAAATCACATGATTTGTGGATACCTTTTCTGGCTAATAGGAGATAATGTAAAACTTATAAAAGGATTGGAAGGGGGTGTGGCTGTCAGTTATGCAATGGTTAGTGAACTGGATATTGATGTAAAATATTTTCTGAGCTCAGTTGTTGGATGCATTGGAAAATTATGAAACTGTTCAGACATTAAGGGATTAAACAATCCCTGAGCTCAATATGTTTTGTCTCATGCAGCATTTTTTTTTTTAGTTAAATCATCTACTTCTCATATTCAGCTTCGATGTGAGCTTATTATTCTAGACATGGATGCTTTATTTGGTAGATTAAACTCTTTCATTATAATGAAAACTGTAGTGAAAGAAAATGCTTTGTAACCATTAGTTGGGTTTGTTACCAATTTATAATAATAATTGGTTTTATTTTAACATGTTTAAATAGTTTTAAAAAACAGTTTTAATTATTACTTATATTAAGATGACCAGATGTCCCATATTATCCCATTTGTTGCCTAAGTGCCCCATTTTCTGCTTAGAGAATAAAAATATAAGGCAGCAAGCTCAGCAAGTAGAACTTTGCCATCTGATGGTCCATCTGTAATATAAATTTGCATTTAAGGCAGACTATACATAGTGGAAGTGCGAGCTAAGGTAAATTGCAGCTCCACAAGAGCTGCTGTGTTGGCAGATTTCCAGGAACAGTTTATTTTCATGCTGAATGAGCAGCCTGTGGATGAGGAACTTGAAACTAAAATGTCCAGAAAACAGTGTGCAGAGATGTTTTAAATTTAATGCTTGGGCAGATTTGCCTGTGGCCTCAAAATGACATTATAAAGTAAAACCTGATTAAGTTGTTCCCACATACAATGCTTTTCTGCCTAAGTTGTTCAAATTCTGCGGTCCTGTCATTTCACTCGTAAGACACACTAAAAATTCCCTCATAAGACATGAGAGAGATGTAACAAACTACGGGAGTCCAGGGCACAGAGATGAAGTGGGGCAAAAAGAACTGGGTTATTTACTATGATACCATTAATGACATCTTGTAACAGAAATATCAATGTAAAGACTAGTTAATATGTATGCAGACAGGATACCAAAAGAGTGGTGTGTGGTTTTTGGCACTAAAAGGAAATATTGTATCATATTCTGTCAGGTCCTATTTGCCTTGAAGCAGTCCCCTGAGCCCATCTTTATATAATTATTAACCAAGCTATTTTCTTCTTGCAGATGGTGAGATCTTACAAGAAAAAAACCAATGTGTCTTAGTCAGGTGCAGACATGTCTAGGGCATTTCATAAAATAAAATCTGGCCAAATTCCCTTTTGGAAAGCAAGCATTAGTTACAGCATTCCAAAGAAGCATTTGAAGCATTTCTTCTTACTATTATTGCTGTTTCATATGGAGATTATAGCCTTATCAGCTCTTTCTCTGATTAGCATTGACCATTGTTTAGGTAAAGCGACCTGTAAGATAGATACATTGTTCCAGCACCACCACGTGTTGACGAGGGATAATGGAGGTATTAGGCTAGTATATTGGTGTCAAAGTGTGAGCAAGTGACATGTTTAAGGTCAATGTGTTGCCTAGGTCTTTGCAAGCCCTGATACATTGATATTTAGGGCAGTGTAGCCAGTAGTACAACTTTGTTTCCTCAGTGCCGCAATGGGGACAGTCTGGCGAGTCACTCAATCACCATAAGGATAGGAAAGCATACAAAGGTGTCATCTTAGTCCGAAGCTGGGCCAATAGTCTCTCTGCCTGGCGAGACGATGCACAACTATACTCCCAGGGATCAAAAAGGTGTAGATGGCCCCGACCTTTATTGTGAAGGGTAGCGGACCAGATGTCCGTCAGGGTGTTGATTGTGGTGTCCCTCATGGCATTAGCGGTTTCCAGATTGAACCACAGAACGAGCTGCAGCGGGCCACTTTGTCGGCTTCCTCATTGATCAGGATGTTAGAATGACCTGGTGTCCAGCCTATGACGATGGGCGCCGATTGATTATTGCCGTGTGGTTGATGATGATCGGTGGTGAGATGAAAGAGACGTTAGCCATAGCTTGGATGACCAAGCAGCTATCTGAGAAAATCACGGTGGGCGTAGCAAGCGGGGCGCTGAGTTGGGTTGCCTGCATGATGCCCTGAGCGTCCATCCCAAAAACACTGCAGTAGTCGTGAAGGGACCAGGCTTCGGCCTTGAGGGTATTCGATGGTACCATGCCAATAGCGGTCCGGGTACTTGATTTTGATGCGTCTATCCCCAGATAGAGCCAGTCCAGCCATTTGGTAGTGATGATCTGGAAATGGGTGCTCATGACATCTGGAGGGTCGGTGATTGACGTGGGGTAGTTGTTCTGACAGGTTCACTTGTTTCAAAAATTGTCATACTGAATTGCCCAATTGTTCACCTGAGGTCATGAATATTGCCAGAGCAGTTGGTTTCAATAAGATAAAGTTTTTCATTTTTTTTTCTGTCCTGGAATCTGCTTTATAAAAACATAAGATTGGCCCTGATCAAATAAATAACATAGATGAATGAAACTTCAATACTGTTCCTGTTCCCAGAAAAATCATTGCAAGAAAGGAAAAAAGCAAATTGGCTAGTTGTCAGTAATGAGAGAGATTTTAACACTTATGGCCATTTGTGGTATTTTTGTTTCTGGCCATTATATTCTATTATTGTTTGCCAGACTTGTAAATGCAATTGTTTTCCCTATAATGATATATGGATGTGAAAGCTGGATGTTCAGACAATCAATGTTTTTATATTGTATAAATGCTAACATGTATCAGACTGTTAACGGTAACAAAAATTCAGTATATTTGTATAGGAAATATTTAAAATATAAATTGTTTAAAATTTCCTGTAAATGTTAAAAATATTCCACTTGAAAAAAAATAATTGTTTTAATCATATACAAGTATATGGATACAAAAACAAACGAATTTATCCAATTTATATAAGAAAATTTTAATTTGAAAAAGAAATAAATTTGTTATTATATAAATCTTGTTATTTTTTAATTAAAAATTTTAATAGACTAATGTCGACAAATCTTTGACGAGAAAATTTTGCAAAACATGTTTAAATGGTTTTAAAAGAGAAGATATTTTAAATGAACTTCTTAAATTTTGTTCCAATCATAAATATCAAAAAGTATCCCCCCCGAAAAGAGACAAAGCAATTGCCAAATTTCTCATTGTTTTTTTTAATTTACCCAGATATTAAGACAAATTTTTATTTTAAAAATTATTATTGCAAATATACACAAATTAGCACAACTTAATTTTGTAATAAAAATCAACCGATCTTAAGTTAGAAAACCAACTTACTTAAAAAAAAATAATTAATTTAAAAACATTTGATAATTAAAACGTAATACATTATACAGATAATTTGTCTTAATTATTATTGTTAAAATTATTATTGTAAATATATTTTCAAAAAATTATGCTAAAATAAAATTAATGTTTTAATTTAACTAAGCATAGTGATTGGTATGACCCATACCACCACTAATACTAATACTACTAATGATAAGTCTGTTATTGGTTGTGTTTGAACCAAATATTTGTTTACATTGTATTTTTATTACAACTATTTTGAAATAGGAATAGTTTTTCATAGAGTAATTAATCTGCATCTCTCTTTTATCATAATTGCCTTTTAATTTAGAAATTGAAAATTTTATTTTGTTTACTTATTTGAAATTTGTCATTAGATTTCATAAAAGAAATGTTTTAAAATATTTTAATTTTAATATAGTTCTACATCAATCTTTGATTTAATATTAAATATTTAATTTTCACATTTATTTTTAATACAGTATTTGATAATTTTGCTATTATCTATTTGACATAAATTGGCTGATTGTTACTCAAATTTATCTAATTACTATCACTCAATACCATTACTGATAGTGTGTTACTTTAATTAACTCAAAGATGTTATAATAATAAATTTATTATTTTTAGCATCTCAAGATGTGGCTCAAGATTTGAACATACTGAAAAGTAACAATATCACTCATATATTAAATTTAGCATATGGACAACCAAATCAGTTTTGCAGTTATTTTGTTTATAAAAAGTTAAATGTCAGGGATGATCCAGAAGAGAATATAAAGCTGTATTTTGAAGAATGCTTTAATTTTATAGATGCTGGTCTTCAAAATGGTTGTACTTTAGTTCATTGTAATGCTGGAGTATCCAGAGCAGCAACAATTGTCATTGGATATTTAATGAATCGTCAAAAGATGACACTTAAAGAGGCATGTCAACATGTAAAAAATGCCAGATCTTCCATTAAGCCAAACAATGGTTTTATGAAACAGTTGAAAGAATATGAAACAGAATTGTATAGTAATGTATTAAATAATAAAGAATTGAAAAACTGATAAATTTGTAATGCATTGAGTGGTGATTTGCTAAATATCAATATTTGCTACTATTGAAGCTAAATTACTTAGTTACCGAATAACTAATATACAGTAGAACCTCCATTATCCGGATTTTCGATTATCCGGATTGTTCAAAATAAACAAAAATTTTACGAATTTGCTGATTTGCACTTGGCGAATTACGATACTGTTTATGTACGTGATGGAATGCATAACTTTTTTTGTTTCAACAACGTCTCACCCAGCACAGTAGTCGTAAACTCTTAAATATATTTTACGTAGTAATAAAAATATAACTTGACATACGTATTTATAAATAATTTATATTCAAATTACATCATTTCTATGACCAAGGGCGGCGTAAGGCATGG